ACCTTCAGGGTGGATATAGCTCGCTAGCAGCCTCGCACCGAGGACCGATCCATGTCATCATTTACCCAGAATGCTTTGTGTGTAAATAAAATGGCTCCGTTCGTGTTAAAATATATTTTAAAAATGTACAAAACTAAACAGCCTACAGTATTTTTACAGTCTTTATTTTACAGTTAAAGTATATATTTATCAAATAAAGTCTAATGTTACAACTAACGGGGATCCCTTTAAGAACTTGTACTTTACTTGAGTAGCATTTTGCAATCTGCTGGCTGCTTTCGATTGTTTTATGTGCACAGWGCCCTGAGACAATGTATGTTGTGATTGGCACTATATAAAAAAAAACTGAATTGAATTTTTAAAAAACTTTTCACTTTTACTCCACTACAGTTCTCTAAAGGCTTTAGTTACTAGTGACTTTTTTTTGGCTGTGTTTGTGTAGTTTGAGTTTGTTTTTGTTCCACCAACAACACACTGGTAAATTACACACCCCTAAATGGTAGGTGATAAGCAGCTTTAAACCAGGTGCGTTCGGGGTCATAAGTCAGGTTAGAGGTGACAATTTCCAAAGGTTGTGTTTAGGCTGTCCATGTGAAAACACAAGGGTGGCTAGGGTTAGGGTTTCAAGGAATTTTTGACAAAGCCAATAAAACAATAAAAAGCTTTTCCATTGTCACAAAAAGCATTCCTGTGTGGACAGGAAGCAAAGAAAGCAACCACCCCAGCCCTGGATGGAACAAACACCATTACACATGAAGCAGTCCAAATGAAGAATAAACAATGATGAGTTAGACAATGGATCATTTTCCCAGGCTTTTGTCAACCCACCATCCCTGCTGCTCAATTTAATGCTGCGGAAATTGGATCAAAATTTGAAGACAAAGGATTGAGACTTTATTTGGTGCTTTGTAGAAAACTTTTTGTGTCTCTGATCAGCTCAGTTTGCTGCAGATGGATTTCCATTAAATCAAAACTAAATGAATCTGATCACAATTTGGAATCACAGCAAAGTGTTGTAATGGCTTTGTTTTTTTGTTTTTTTACTTGGTGTTGAAATAATTTCAAACCTGCAACCTAACACAGCAACGTGAGAAACAAGTAAAAGGCTTTGAACACACTGGGATAATTTCAAGCTCTAAAAACAGAAAGCTTCTGTTCATGTGTGACACAGTCAGGAACACCTCATGTTCCCAGAATGACAGTGATGTTAAAGACCTAAAAGCTGCCCGGGCCTGAAACAAAAGGCTTTAACAGATTCGGATGAGTCTCTCTTCATTTATGGAATCCTTTGACATTTTAGGGAGACATTATTTCCTTTTATTGGTTACAGGTTCAGTCAGAAGGTTGGTAACACTCATGTCTCGTTGGTAAACATGGGAGGATCAGYCACTCGGCTCTCTGCTGGTTGCCTGGAAACTGGTTTCAAGAACCAGTGCTATACTTACCGTCTCTGTACAACAAGAAATGATTATTCCTCAGCTTTTGTTGTTCACAGGAAAACAGAGAAAAATCCACCATCTGCACTCAATGACATTGTGAGGATTCTGACATGTAATAACTTGGAGTACATTTTAAAACTTTAAGCCAAATAAACTTGAGATGTCTTAATAATTTTATGAGGGCTTCATTAAAACCAGCATCACACTGGGTCATGATTGGTGGAAACAAGTCGGTGAATGGCATTCATGCAAAATATCCTCTGTTTCACAGTGTGAGTCACAGATTTGTTGCTTCAAATATGAATATATGTTTAAAAAATTGGAATACTTTTTTTTRCCCTTAAAATCGTTGAGGGCAGAGTTGTCACAGGCATCTTGAAGCTGTCTCAATTTTGTACTGGTGCTATGACAGAAAAAAATCCAAGACTACAGCCTCAAATGTAAACAAAACAAAACAAAACAAAACAGACCAAACTACAACACAGTTTGTCAAGTATGGACTGGAGATCCCACAGTAAAAAGTGGGAGACTTCACCAAGGCTGGTAGAAAACAGCAGATTGACAAACACCAATTGGACATTATGGTAACCCCTAATTTACACTACATGCGTTCCGTCTCCGCTCCGCTGCAGTCCGACCTCCGCAGCAAATACGCACCCGTTATGATCAATGGGCCTCATGCAAGAACCGTTCGTACGCACAGATTTGTTC